TTTTTTTTTTTTTTTTTTACTTCAGCTGTTGTTTATTGACACAGGTAGGCTCTATAGCAACAGGCTGGGAGGTGGCTGCAGTAGTGGGGAAAATGGAGGGTGGGGGGAGTGTTTGCCTTCAATGACCGCTGAGTAGAGTGTAGGAAGACAAGCGCACAATGCATGACAAGGTGGGAGTGGGGGGAGACTGAGGGGGGTGGGGGAGCAAGGAAGGGCCCTGGCCAGTCTCCTTAAACCAGAACCACTGCCCTATGCCACAACTCTTGTTGGCGGTCTCTTGATGCCAGGCCAGGGGTGGGAGTTGTCTGGGTGTCCGTTTTCTGTAGGAACTGAGTGGAGTACACAAAAAGGAGGAGATGCAGGAGCCGTTGCCCTCTGTGAAACTTCGCATCTTAAAGGACACTATCAAGAAAATGAAAAGACAGCCTACAGTATAGAGAAATTATTTGCAGATCATCTATCTGATATGGGCCTGGTATCTAGAATATATAGAGAACTATTACAATTCATAGAAAGACAACCCAATTTTTTAAAAGGGAAAATGATCTGAATACATATTTCTCCAATGAATATCTATATATGTATATATAGATACATACATGGCCAATAAGCACATGAAAAGATGCTCAAAATCATTAGTCATCAGGGAAATGCAAATCAGAACCACAATGAGACACCACTTTCACAGGGACTAGCTACAATTAAAAAGATAGACAAAAACAAGTGTTGGTGAGGATGTGGAGAAACTGGAACTTCCCACACTGCTGATGGGAACATAAAGTCATGCAGCTGCTTTGGAAAACAGTTTGACAATTAACGAAAACATTAAACATTGGCTTCAGCACATGGCCCAGCAATTCTGCCTCTAGGTATATCCCCAAGAGAAATGAAAACATACACTTGCATAGAAACTTGTATGTGAATGTTCACATTATTCATAATAGCCGATAAGTGGGAACAACCCAAATGCCCATCACCTGATGAATGGATAAATAAAATATGGTGATCTATACCATACATACCAAATGTACATACCAAATGTAATATCATTTGGCCATAAAAGGGATGAAGTGCTGATGCATGTTACAGGAATGAACCTTGAGAACATCATGCGTGGTGAAAGAAGCCTGTCACAAAAGACCACGTATCATACGATTCCATTTATGTGAATGTGCAGAATAACCAAATCTATACAAACAGAAAACAGATCACTGGTTGCCTAAGGGTAGAGCCTTGGGGGAGTTGAGGAGTGACTGCTAACTGATACGAGATTTCTTTTTGGGGTGATAAAAATGTGCTAAAATTGACTATAGTAATGGTTGCACAACTAATTGTGAATATACTAAAAACCACTGACACTGAATTAAAAAAAAAAAAAAAACACAATTCTATACACCAGAAACAGTAATTAAGTAAATAAGGAAATTTCAGATAGCAATGAGCACTGAAGAGTAGATAACAGAATATTATTTTTTAATATTTATTTATTTATTTTTGAAATTGAGAGACAGCATGAGCAGGGGTAGGGGCAGAGAGAGAGAGAGAGGGAGACACAGAATCCAAAGCAGGCTCCAGGCTCCGAGTTGTCAGCACAGAGCCCAATGCAGAGCTTGAACCCATGAACTGTGAGCTCATGACCTGACCGACTGAGCCACCCAGGCGTCCCTAGAATAATATTTTTAAAGGAACATTTTGGACAAAGACTCGTGCAGTTCACAAGAACCACTCCTTCCCCCAGCAGACCCTAGTCCTCTTTCCTGGTATTTCACATTTCATGTTGCAAGACAAGGATGAGAAGAGCCTGCGGGAGTCAGTGACCTTCTCTGACTGGAGATTTTTTTGGAGATATTTCCCTCAGCAGCACTCTTATGTCTTCTTGTGAGCCCTGGCAGCTGGTGATTTCTGTCCTGCCCACTCCCACCCTCCTTGATAAGTCTGAAGGGTGCTGGATTGTGCAACATCTCCAGACGAAGGGAAAGTCCTGGATCTTCCTTCATGACCTGTGTGAATGCTGAGATGATGTGGATGTCACCCACTATCTCTGTAAAGACCAAACCTACTCTAAGACAGGAATGCAGGGAAAGGTCGCTTCTCAGACCCTGGCCTTATTCTTTGATAGCAAAGACAGGGACATTCTTAAGGGAGTAGAACTGGCAGTGTTTGTTCGAGAATCCCCCTTAGCCCCCAATTCCAACTGATTGTTTCCCTTTTTATGTCTGCCCAACAGATATATGTCCCTTCTTTTTCTCAAAAAAGTATACCTAAAATTTCTAAACATTGTAATATCATGAAGTTTAAAGCCTGGGAGTGAGGAGAGAATGGGTACCTGCCACCATCATCCATCCAATGATAGATAAAAATTTAGAATCTATTAATGACAGAAGCTTATCGAAAAACACAGTTGTCGGGGCGCCTGGGTGGCGCAGTCGGTTAAGCGTCCGACTTCAGCCAGGTCACGATCTCGTGGTCCGTGAGTTCGAGCCCCGCGTCGGGCTCTGGGCTGATGGCTCAGAGCCTGGAGCCTGTTTCCGATTCTGTGTCTCCCTCTCTCTCTGCCCCTCCCCCGTTCATGCTCTGTCTCTCTCTGTCCCAAAAATAAATAAATGTTGAAAAAAAAATTAAAAAAAAAAAAAAAGAAAAACACAGTTGTCAAACCCACACCCCACCCTGAAAAATGAATACAAATAGTTTCTGTTTAAAATGAAACTGCTTTTAAAGATCTTTTCTCATCTATCCCACCTTCTTTCACTATAAAAATAAAAGCCTGCATTATTTTTTGGCAATGAAACATATCCCCTTCCCCTTGACTCATACCCAATTCCCAGTGAACTGATGACTTGATTTAGTGGCCATTATCTGTATCTGAAGACAGATTTTGGCCCCAAGGAGTTGCGTGCTATAAAGTTCAGATAAATTCGCTTACAAATCTCATAAAAAGAGGTGAAAATACTTTCTTTCTCATCACAGATAAAGGAAAAGAAAGTACATGTAAAGATTGATTGTGATTTGTGAAGTGTTCGGTTGGTAAAAATTGGATCACTGTGGCAAAGTGTTGACAAAGCACCTGTAAAATACTCCAGAGTAATAAAGACAAGCTTCTCCTCCCCCATTCTAGGCTATCTTTGACCGGAACCGGAAAGATGAACTGCCTCGGTTACAATTGGAGTGGATTGATAGCATCTGTATGCCTTTGTATCAGGTACTCAGGATTTGGGAGGTGGGGGGAAGGAGTTGGCGGTGCATGTCCTGACTGAGCCAGGAAAGAAGAGTGTATGTACTCTCAGAAACGTTAGTTTTAGGAGACCTTTCCAGGGTAAGTGTATTGCTAAGAACTTTGGCTGTGGTCAATCTTTTCTCAGATTTCTGACTGTCTCCTAGGAAAAGTTAGTGCTAGGAGGCCAGAGACCTGAGTTCTCCTTCTAGGACATAATCTCCATGGGCCTTGATGCCCCCATCTATAAACCAGGATTAAAAATATTTTACCTCAGTATTTCCCAAGCTGTGCCCTGTGGAACACAAGTATCCAGCCATAGCCTAAAAGATATCTCTTCAAAAAGAGCTCTCAGGCCCAACAACTAGGGAACCTGAAGGCTCAGAGGAGTCCTTCAGGAAAGAAACATGTTCAACTTTGATCAATGCCAAATTTCTCAAACATTTGACTTCATTTTTGTTTTACAAGTTTTCTTTCACTTTTACTAATATCCTACGAGACACAAGAGTTCCATGAAACCATGACACCTGGCCTTCTGTCCTGATCGCATGGTCTGGGCCACAGAGTTTTGAAAGAACCTTCCATGGGAAAGCTCTGCCTCTCTCTGAGACGCATGTGACAAATGCCGCTGCCTGGTGGTCGGGACCCTGCTTCTGGCAAGGAGACAAGTGTCATGGGCTTTGAATGTTCACACTCCACTTTTTGAGTACAGATTAGGATCGGCACCAGTTAACACTAAGGGTTTAGTGTTCACTGGCTTTTAATTCTGCTACTAAGCATTTGCTTTCATGTGTAAAACCTGTCGAGTTCTTTACCCCCTACCTCGCTCAATCAGACTGAGCTGCTTTTCCAACTTCAAAGTGAGAAACACATGCAGGGAAAGCAAAACCGCGTTAGTTTCTCACTCTGTGTAACTCCATTAAAAACACAGTATTGGTTTTTAAGGACCTCACAACCATTAAGTTTCAGGCTTATCTACCACTTCGTTTTCAACACTTTTAGGAGCTGCTGAGCCCTGTCACATTACACTAAAAAAAAAAAAAAAAAAAAAAAAAAAAAAAAAAAAAAAATCCTAGAATACTATCTTGAAGATAGAAATGAAACTTTTTAATGACTATCAACAGCAAAAAACACCAAAATTCATATCTTTGTTTTACATGAACCATTCAATACATGATAGCATAAAATCAAAGTTTTAAAATAATCTTAAGTACATTATTTTAGCTATAAATGGCACATAATGCTCTTGTTTAATAATGAAAACTTGGGTGAAAAAATCAAGAGTAACGTACACTTTATTATAAGAGGCTTCTTGACTTTCTTTTCTTCCTGTCTGCTTCTCCCACCCTTGCTTCTCTGGTATCTCTGCATAAGCTGGGTGCCCAGGTACAAAGCCCACAGCCGTTGGGTCAGATATATCTTGTTTTGCTAAATTCGCCTTGACTACCCATGTTGAATTATTTATAATTTATTCAGTTTCCTGTGCCCACTGAGGCAATAAATGGGATGAATTTTTGCAATTAGTAAATTCCTTTTACGGTGGGTAAAGCTTAGGAGGACGAAGACTTGTAATTGTGGGACTGATAAATTTTCCGTATTAGTTTGCAAAGCTTCTTTGGAATGGACCCAAAGTCCACATATCCTTCCTATGTGATTGGTTATAATAAATGCTGGCAAGGATTCTCATGGGCTTTTCCGTGCTAATTTCATTGTTTTGCGTCTGATTCTCAATTCTTTGGGCTTATCTTATACTTTCTATTAAGTACTTTGAAATCTTCAGGTTAAAAAGGAAACTACTTGAAATTGAAATCGAAACTAGCACTTTCCAGAATTTAGGGAGTAATACCACATCACATTATCTATCATTCTTGATTTTCCACATCTGTTTTACTTTACTCCCTGTCTGTGAGGTTAGATACACCTGCTATTTTTATCCACAGAAAATTAACATAGAGCAGTTTTAAGTGACATTCCCACCAAGTTAGAGTTGTGTCCCACATATCCGTGGCCTTGGTTTTGGTGTAGTGGTCTTTCTACCACCCATTCCACCTCTGCTGGGTATTTCTTCCACAATCTTTTCTTATTAAACTAACGAGAGAATCATGGCATTGTAAAGAGGAGTGTAGAAGGAGTTGTTTATAAAAGTTCTTGTTCAGGGGCACCTGGGTGGCTCAGTTGGTTAAGCGTCCGACTCTTGGTTTCAACTCATGTCATGATCTCGTGGTTTCATGGGTTTGAGCCCTACATCAGGCTCTGTGCTGACAGTGCAGAGCCTGCTTGGGATTCTGTTTCTCCCTCTCTCTGCCTCTCCCCCTTCATGCTGTCTCTGTCTCTCTCAAAATTAATTAATTAAAAAGATTTTTTTAAGTATGTTCATTTCTGCTGCTATGTCTTCTCAGCTAGCAAAGTATGAAAATCATGTTCATTTTAAATGTCTTATCATCACTTATTTTTAAAAATAACACAGATTTTATTTGTAAATTCTTTATAAGTCTTTGAAACCAGTATTTCAAAAAGCCCTCAAACTGAAACTTTGCTGAATGATTTTAAGTGTCCTCTCTGAGAGTCCCTGTTTTGTTCCATCTCACACAGTTGGGGGAGAAGGGGATTGTCCGTTATTTAAATGGGCAATCTGACATTCACTGTTGCGCCCTGGAGCTGAAATGGAATCAGTCAGTGGGCAGGAATCACCATTAGTGCAAAGATACAAAACGTTGAGGAAGTAACTCACCAAGCAAGAGCAGTCACTGGTATGACACTAGTTCCTGCAAAAGTCTGCAGGAACTCAGGTTGTTGCCAAAAGGGAAGATTGAGGTTTCAAACATGAAAGTGCAGTCATAAAGAGCCTGAGAAAATAGAAAGCAGATGGGAAAGTATGCAGGTGGCCAGAATCTCAAAAAGGGATTATCTGAAATGCCATGGTCTGAATTATGTAGAGTGTAGAAATCCAGGGTGGCCTTGCTAGGTCAGTCTGGGCGCAGGGGAAGAGGATACAGAATAGTACAGATGAGACAAAGACTGTTCCTTTTCATGGCCAGGACCCTGCCCCCAAGGTGGAGCGGGTTGGGTGGCTGGAAACCTCATGTAGAACCTGAGGCAGATAGATACTCATGGAGAGAGCTGGGATCTCGTGCAGGGGAGCAGTGTGGAGAGCGCCCTCTAGCGAGGGTGGAAGCTCACCGAAGCACTGGGCTGATGGCCTGAAGGTGGAATGCGGAAGGAGTTTAGTAGCAGGGTAGAGAGGGAGCTGAGTGGTGGATACAAATTTGGTTTTAGTACAGCTTTTTGACTTCATTGACTTTCACTGGGTGAAGTGGTTTCCCTTCATGGTGTTGAAAAGCTTGTGCATACGTCAAACTTCAAAATAGATCAGGCACTTTCCTCTTTCACTCCAGTTTGCGGAGTTTTGTCCTTCCTCCAAGCCAAGGGTAGATTATCGATAGTCTTGGGTGCCTGAAGGGCTACTTACTTGTGTGCTAGGTGGGAACTCACACAAACTACATTTTGGATGCCCACTGCATTTAAAACTGAAACTCTTATCTCTGAGACAACTTCAACTTCCAGGTAGGGCCAATGTTGAAGGAGAAGCAGGCCAACTCCTCCAATCCTCCTAAAATCTATTCGTTAGGAAGTTACCTAAGTAATCTAGTGATTGATTGGAAGTGACTGCCAGAAAATACATAAAAATATATAAACAAAGTGGTGCGTGGAGAAGGAGCATGCCCAGAACACTCCCAGATTGACAGATAGTTATATTGTAGAGAGATGCAACACTAATATTTACGTGTGAGTATATAATTCTCCAGAACTTGCTTGTCTTTTTAATCTGATGGCTCCAAACTTTTCTTTGAAAAAAATAGAAAATGGTCCTAACAGGCAGAAGTCATGATTTATCTGTGACAGCATTTCAATCAGGAAGCATATAGGAAGTCAAGAGTGGGCAGGGACCCATCAGAGCGTGTGCCCCAAGAGAAGACGAGAGCCCAGTTAGTTAGCTCCGTCCTAGCAGGGTATCTTGGAGGAACACATTGACATCTGATTCCCATGCTTTCTGCTGTCTTTGCACCCTGCTGGGATCCATTAGCCTGCTGCTCAACATCTTTGGAGGGAGAAAAAAATATAAAGAAAGAAAGAAGAAAAAGAAAAAAAGACACCATCAAACTTTGAAGCCACTGCTGTACCAGCCTTAGGGATAAACAGAAAGCCTGATGTGACAGCATCACACTGAGCTTCTCTTGCAATAGCGAGCTCAGTTTTTGCCCTTTGTTTTCATTCTTGACTTAATCAAACCTCAGTGTACCTAGAATTTCAATGATGCATAGAGGCATTATAAATCTTCTGTTGTTAAGGATTGAGGGATTTAATTGTTATTATGAACATAATCGCATTTGCAGCCCATCCCAAACAGGTTCTTGACTTGGAGGTGGATTTTTTCCACAGATATTTCAAAAAGGCTTGACCTGGACAGGATCTAGCTGGAACAATTCCCTGTCTAGTTCTGCAAGCGTATTGCCTCTTTATTAAAATGCCAAGGAGTTTCTGCAACAGGCAGGGCTTCTGATGTTTTGATTACAGTAACTTTTGACCTTTTTTCTGCCTTCAGTTGTAATAGTCGTTTTGAAAAATACCTTCACCTGATGCAATTAATAAGCTCTCTGAAGGGAGAGAGAAAAGAATCTTTATAATTGAGATTGTGAAGACTGGGAATTAGAATTGGTAAATTGGAAAAGAGGATGTAAAGTGCTAAGACAATTTTTCTGGACACCAGTAGAAGTTCTTTAAACACAACTTAATATTCCCCAAATGGCTCATGCTTTGTGTCCAGTTTTTTAAAAAAGAATAAGTAATGACCTACTGAGTCACTAGTTAGAATATAACATCATCTTCTCTTAAAAACCTACAAGGGATAGAATGTGGATCCAGAGAAGAACAATTGCATCAGATACTTTTTTTTAAAAAGGATACCACCCAAATAGGTTTTCTATCAA